AGGGTTACCCTCGCTACCAATGGACGAAATTTCAGGGTCACAGCTTGCGCAACGGCTTTGTCCTGTGCGAATGGCCACTCGACATACTCAGCACAAATTTTCTATTGCATGCATGCACAAAATGTTCAACTTTCGTATTTTTGGTGACTTTACCACCGTCGTGGAGGCTGGTTGGTGAGGAGCAGGTAGCCATCCCTTGTGGAATCAAACACATGGTTCCACAGTGTGGCTGATTCCGCAAGAGCCAGGTCCATACGAGGAACATTCGCTTTGTCTTTTGCCATCGAAGTAAGTCACTTTTCTTGTTCTCAGTGTTTTTTTACGTTCAACGTTTCTGAGATTTTTGAATTATTCACTTTTCATTCTTTCATACTTTATTTCTTCATGTTCACTGCCTCACTTGCCTTCTGATCTGGAGAATGTGACGGAGGTGACTGTTGGTTACTGCCTGGTATAACGGTTGTCGTGCTGTTGCTGTATTTCCGTCCTGCTCGCGACGTTGTAGATCACAAACAATTTGAAATCACATGAATTGTACTTACCGTCGTGCGTGCGGTATTAGGAAACCAGATTAGATCGTCGCAATGTATCTATATGTGTGTCTGGTCCTCCTGTGCCACGCAAGAACTCCAACCAGACGCATTCGTCCTCGGCCCTGTTGATCGATTGTCCACTCGTCTTTCCTTGAAGAACGATCGATCAAAAAAAATCGAGCTCGAGGACTTTTTGCAAAAAAACGGCTGAAAAAAGGAAGAAAAAAGGGTGCTCAGAATGAGATTCGAGTACACAACCATGGTCCCAGCAGTTTATGTGGATGTCGCTCATAGATGCGCGATTTCGCGCAATGATGGCTGGTGTGGGCAGGGTGTTGTGAGCAAGGTGTGTGGATGTTGTAGGCAGGAGGCTGTGGAGACATATTAGGTGACACCGCGGTATTTGAGGAGATACTTGTTCTCGTGTCGGCACTTGAACACCATTTCCGAGCGCTTGTAATGCGTTTGTAATGCGCCTGTAGTGCAACACAAATAATAATTATTAATATCGTACTACAGAACCATACTAACAGTCTAAAACAGAGAGGTTCCAGGCTAACAGTCTATGTAGCCGAGTGTTACCTTCGTGTACATAGTTTATTTATTGACACAATTTTTGGAAGTCGGATGGTGAGCCAAGGAAAAATGTGGACTCGATCGCATAACTTGTGCCCACAATTTCCCATGTTACAACAATTTTTAGATGCCACGTCATGTGCGCTTGCTGTGGAGCTTGGGTTAAGCCACTACACATCAAGCCCTTGTTTGTTTTGCGCAGTGAATGACCCTGCTTCTTTATTTATTTATTTATTTATTTATTACAGCATCTCATAGCACAGTGAGAACACCGGCCAATACAAAGAGAGAGGGTGTTAGCCAACCACGGCAAGGCAGGGAGAAGGGGAGGAGAAGAAAAAGGAACCGGCATGGATAAGCAGTGATTGCAACCAAATCAGAAACACAAAATCAAAATCAAGGCGCGACAAGGCTCTTAAAAAGGCGGAGGGAAGAAAGGTCCTTAGCTTCTTGGGGAAGTGCCAGCCACGCAGAGTACGCAATAAAAAAGGGAGAGTGAAGTAGAAAGGAGGACTTAGGTTTCGGAAGGGAAAGGGAGTTTCTCGTGCTACGGGAAGAGAACCAGTTGAAACAGTGGAGGTGAGGTGGACACAGATTGAGTTTGAGAGAATGGATAAGGGTGACAAGATGTGAATTACGTCTCTTAGACAAAGGGGAAGTGTCAGCAAGGGCATAAAGGGTGGAAGATGGAAGCATGCGGGGTTTTCGGAGGAGGATTTTGAGGACTTTTTTGTGTTGAATCTCGAGCTTGGCAGCACGGGTTGTGGAAATTCCAGCCCAAGCAGTATCTGCATAATCAAAAATGGGGCGTAAGTAAGCTGAGTAAAAGAGGAGTTTACAAGAGATTGGGAGATGGTAACAGTGAGAAGAGAGAATTCCTAAAGATGAACTTGATCGTTTACATATGTAATCGATGTGGGGTTCCCATGAAAGATTAGAGTCAATGAAAATGCCAAGATGCTTATGGCTGGAGACTATGTCTATAGGCTGGGGGAAAGTGGGATGGAGGAGGGGCGGAACATCGGGCTGAGAAGGAAAGAGCATGATTTTAGTTTTAGACAGATTGGGCGATAACCGCCAAGACGACATCCAGGAAATAACTCTTTGAATCCCGGTAGCTGGGTTACTCATCAGGCCAGTGATGTTAGGAGATGCCCGTAGGAGCGTTGTGTCGTCTGCGGACAGTGATGTGCCCGGGGCAGCTGCGGGCAGATCATTGACGTATAAAATAAAAAGAAGGGGGCCGAGGATGGAACCCTGGGGAACTCCGGATAGTACTGTTGTGTTGGCCGAGGACGTCCCATGTACCGTGACGTACTGCGTTCGCCCAGTTAGGTAAGATGTCAGCCATAGCAGGGGATTGCCGTCTACAGTAAATGATCCACGAAGCTTGGCCAAAAGCCCCCGGTGCCAGACGGTATCGAAGGCCTTGGCAAGATCGAAAAAACAAATCCCGACTAGATCTCCAGCATCCCGATGTCGACACACTAATTGCACCAGGCGCGTCAGCTGGAGGGTGGTAGAATCGCCTCTGCGAAATCCGGACTGAGCTGAACTCAAACGTGACGAGACATGACAGTACAATTGGTCGTAGAAAACGCGCTCACAGAGTTTGGAAACACAGGACAGTAGAGATATCGGAGGGTAGTTTGATGCTTCGTGGCGGGACCCTTTCTTGTACTTCGAAGTAGATCGGTATAACATTAGCTGTTTTCCATGCAGAGGGAAAACGACCAGTGCGGAATGATAGGTTGAAAATCAGACATAATGGGTATGCTATTGAGGGCGCAAGGGACTTTAATACCAGATTAGTGATGCCGTCTGGGCCCGGAGCCTTGTCAGACGGGAGCTTTCGAATGTAACGTCGAATGGCAGCAGTCGTAGTAAAGACAGATGTGAGACGGTCAACCTCACCCGACTCCTCGGCAATGGGGGGAATGGGTAGAGAAGGGTCATCAGGCACGGCCACTGAGGCGATTCTTCTTTTACACCTTTGCGTATGGTCGTGTGCCTTTTATGCACCTGCGATAACTGTTGTCTGTACCCAGCCTGTTTACATGTCTCAGTTTTCATGCGATCTTTACTTCTCCCTCTGTTTTGAGCGAGTGCACTTGTATTTGTCTAACTGTAGTGCAATGGTTGCTATGACTGTAATGTTGACGAAAGTGTTTGTGTTGTAATGGAATCACAGCCATTCCGTTCCCCGGGATGCAGGACACAAAGAACAAGACTGGTCTGTTACACTATTATTAGCGACTTCAGTCCAAAATTCTAAAATCGGAATTAGGGCCAACAAATTACACGACTGGAAAGAGAAACCTCTGCAGAACACATACAGAAAATTTCATGGGTATATCTTGTCCCAAACCGGAGATATCAGGCCCCAAAGTTGGTATGCAATCGTCGGAGGCCATGTATGCAATTGTATGCAGAGCAATGGCACAAAAGTAGGTTTCCCGGACCTCATGAATATCATGCATACACAGTGAATGTATGCGCGATATGCGGGTTTTTGGTGTTCTTGGAGGGTGACGGAGAAACCGTCGTACATGTAGATGTTGGACGGGACGTGCTCTGCTTCGATGGATTGAAATAATCACCTCCTCACTGCTCAAGCACCTCCAGAATCTTTACGTGAAGAACATAATCATTACTAGCCGATTTACAAGCCAAAGGTCTGCTCGCTCCGTCACGCAGAGCCCGTCAAATAGTGCACTCCATAGCCGACTTCAGCCGCTGCGCACAACTTCTTCAAACTGCTAAAAACGGCTACGGAGGAGAACCTTACCATGAACCCATCTAAACTAATTCGAGGGCTCTGAACACGATGGTGACTCGGTCATTGACGGGCAAGGTAGCTGGGATGCCGAAAGTTTGCTTTGAAAACTAAAAATACGGAGCGATATATCCAAAAATCGATGACTCTTGACATGCGACACACCGTTGGAAAGCTATTCGTGTGTGCTTGCCCATCATGTAAAAATCGAAGGTGCTGGGCACATGAATAACGCGTAGGCAGGCGTAGAACGTCGAGAGAAAAATTGTTCCGTGCACGCCATGCTTGCACCATACATTCGTGCGACGAAGAATTTCTGCCTTTTGGTCACGTGATTGAAGTAGTACTATTATATTATTGATATTACGGAGAAGCAGACTCACTGCACTCTGACAGAGACTAACAAGAAGACTGACAAACGGACTCTCGACTACAACATCACGCATGCTCGTATCACACATGCACACGACTAGACGAGACAGTTTGGGGAATGTCATTACACAGGAAAACAACACATCATTTTACAACAGTGTTTGCGTGTTGCGCAACGGTCTCTGAGAGTGAAAGACTTTTCATGGCTTTGTTGTACGTGTTCTTTGGTTTTATTTTGTAGTGTTCTCTTATTGACTTTGTTGCATTGGTTTGGTTGCACTTGCAGTCTTCTGTGCACCATGGAACTCTTACGCCAGTGTCACGTGTGCAACATTGTTTTGCGCGCATGCTCATATGCTGCCACGATGTTTGTCTTTTCTTTAGTTATCAGTTTTTCCCCGTCGTGTCCGGTCTGCCTGTTTGTCCGTCTCCATTCGAATTATGTAGAACTTTTAGTTCAGTTGCCTTGTTGTGTGTGGTGAGTCGGATGGGCGGGGAGGCTGGGCCCCTGACGCCTGGAGAACATGTGCTGGTGCACAAAATTGTGTGAGCCTTAATCCGTATAGTGATGTTGCAATTGTGAACGCAACATTGTGCACATGGATCTAGAAACTATGACAAGTGCTCCTCTGGATGGTTGGCAGAATCTGTAATGCTAAAATGTCCTCCGAGGTACATGATGTGTCGCCTGCATGCAAGCTGAAACTCGTATGTGTTGTTTTGCGATTGTTGTGTTCCTTCAGAGAGACGAATCAAACCGAAACGTGCTTGGAAATTGTACCAAACAACAACTCAGAATCAGTCAGACCAAAGGCATGGTGCCTGGATGATGCAAAAAGGACAGAACATCTTTCTGTGGGATACACCCAGAATCCAATGTGCAGCAGATGATATTCGCCTACAGATGAGACTATCCCTAGAGGACAATGAACCAAGCAGTCAGCTGACTGGCGATGAAAGTCAAAATGGCAAACTGCCTGGGAAAGATGTTGAACAAACACTGCGACCCAATGATCCACTGCGTACAATGGTACTTGTTGGGAACAGTGAAATAATTGATGAATTACTCTATAGCAAAGGCATTGCGGATCCCGAGGAGCTGTCTAACGTATCCAACCAGGCAACAAACTCCAGTGGCTCCAGTGTCTGCTTCTTTGTTGACTCGAGCAGCAACCACTGCTCTGATGTCTACATTGTCGTTAGACTGCACGAGAGGGAAGATGCTGATGTCCAGAAAGCACTTCTAAAACTGGCCATGGAAGCATCACCAACAGTGCTCTTTCTTCACAATGATGTACAGCGTGCAACTGATGAGACCATCCTCTCACCTCCGAAAATGGAGTTCTCTGATTTCCTGGAGAATACTAGATGTGAGCAGCGAACTCAACCGAACTCAACCGAGCAGCGAACTCAACCGGATGAGGTGTTTGGGCCGCTGAATATCCTTCTGGGAGCTTTTGAATATTTCAACTGCGTCTACTCTTTATCACACCCAACACCATCGCTCACTGTTGCACTCGTCCAGCCGGATAGTATCACCTATGGCTCAGGTGGATCAAGTGTGATGAGAGAGAAAAAAGTCACACACATCAAGCAGCTATTGACTGAGATATCTCACAAGCCATTCGGCGGCTGCAACAATGTGCCACTTGTGACCGAACCAATCGCATGCTCGACTCAAGATCTTAATCCAGCCCTCTTGCTATGTGAGCAAACTGCTCGCTTCAAGGAATGGTTTATGAATGTCACGAAGGCTTTGCCTATGACAATCGTGCTCGCAATTGACAAGACTGGTGCCAATGTCCTTAAAGATGAAGACCAACATGTACAAGAACAGGTTGGCCGCCAGCTTGAAATCAAACCGCAGATCACATCTTCGGCAGGCTCTCCACAAATATGTGCCACTAATGACTTTGACTGCCACAGTGCCATTGGAGAAAGTCACTATTCTGCTGCGTCAGCAGCCACTTCAACACTGTATGGCCCAAGCGAAGAGTGCCACCAAGCTGAAGTGCGCTTGCCTGATCCAAAGGCTGTGAAATGCCAGTGCTTTCCCACCCAGATAACAGCTGAGAAACTAACCACTGTCAAGGTCACTGATGACTCAGTGAAAATGTTCTATGACTTGGACCGGATGAACCCATGGAAAGATGATTGGGTTGGAATTAACGGGCAAGCCTATGTAACAACAGTACTGGCAGACGATGAATTGTTTGCTATGGACGTTATTGACTTTTGCTGTGGTGGTTTGATGAAGTTATTCCATCATCCAAACAGCACTGATTCAACCAATGGTGATCACGGGCTGAGCTCTACCGCTGCGGCTGCTGCTTCAACTAATGTCACTGAGGGTAATAAACCAATGTGTTTGGAGAGCCAGAGGCAGGCCCGACTTATCATGTTCTCGAAGGCTGTTGGCGCCAGGATCCAGAACTTTCTTTCCTTTCAAGGCCTCGATTTGCTGGGGTGTAAACATTTCGCTGATGCCGATATCGCTATGTTGGTCCCAGCCCTTGCACTCAGCAACCTGTTCGTTATTTGCTCACGCAAGCCTGAAGCTGCATTGCAGAGACTACTGCCAGCGTTGCGCTTCCTGAAACAGAGACTCGTTCAACAGTGCGAACCCAGCGAATATGGCCAGAGGATAGAACTAGACAAGGAAGTTGTGGACAGTCAACTGTTTTCAGCACGGGTACTGATCATTCGAACATGTGATGATGGTCAGCCTTCGACAGGCTTGGAGCTACCAGAACAGGAGAAACGCCTGCTAAAGTGCTTTTTCAAGGGCCCATTTGAGATGCCGCACAGGCAAGTGGTTGGCAAAGACTTGGAAGGTCGTCGAAAAGCCGCACGTGTTATCAGCCTGTCCATCAAAGATGCTTTAAGTCAACAAAGGACCTCATCATTCAACTCAACCGAGCTCTCAAACTATCTCTCAGCTACCCTCAGCGCGATTGCAACAAACAACTTTGAAGCCCTATCGTTGACAAAAGTGTTTGAGAAGGAGGCAATTGATTTCCTCTTGAAGGTGGTTTGTGCTCTCCAAAATGGGTACTGGGGTGAAGACATCTGTTCGAGCGCAGAACTGGATGACTGGGATATCAGTACATCAACCCAAGGTCCATACAACTGGGCAGAGGATGCTAACCTACCACTAGGTCTGCCTGAAGATCTGAAAAAGGTGCGATCCAAAGACAATGCAATCTCGTCACTTCGGAAAGCAACATGGTGCTACGGCAAGACTCAATGCGAGTTGATCAGCACCCTCCGCAAGGACATTCACCAGAAAGCGCAACTCAACAGAGAAGTCTCACGGAAGCAAGATTGGAAACAGATGCAACCACAGGACCTTGAAAAGGACATGGGAGAAAAGATCCGCAAACTCACCATGAGACGTCATCGCGGTGTCAAGGCCATGGCAAATCGGCACATCAACGATCTCCGAGTCCGGAAGAACCTCAAGGAAATTGTTGATAGCTACCTGGTCACTTTCCAGGAATTTTGGCAGCCTTGCTTCAGGAAATGCAAGGAATGCCACTTCTGCTGTCTCAAGCCATCTGGCCACAAAGAAACATTGAAGGATGAATGTGATTGCATGGATATCGATGACACTGAAAGAAAACATATCTGCAGCAAAGAGTGCATCATCTGCAAAGAGGTGCGCGAGGATGGTGAAAAACAGCTTTGTCTGTTGCCTGCTGGTCACAAGGATGATTTTTGCAGATGCTGGCCTGAAAATGGAAAGCTGCCGTACGGCCACGGCTGTGAAGAAGATTGCATGTATTCTGAGGCACTGGTTCATGCCACAGGAAAAGCCGACGGAAAGTGTTGTGACTTTCTTCATCACGACAAGCTGAGTGGGAAGCCCACCCACAGATGCGAGTTACCAGCTGAAAAGCACACCTGTCCAAAGATGTGCTACTTCTCCGGCACTGAGGTCAAATGTCCCAATCATTGCAGCAAGTTTGGCATGGAGATTAAAGAAGCACATGGGCACTTCTGCCTCGCTGAACACTGTTGTCCAGAATACTGTCAGGCACCTGGACGATGTGTGCCACCTGCAACAACAGTAGAACGCAACATATGTGCAAGAACAAGCGACACAGAGAAAGCAAGGTGTACGCACATGATTGAAGCAGGATATGAAAACCACTTTGCCAAGGAAGCAGAGCATGTATGCACTTTGGGTAAAGAAGAGCACTACTGTGACAAGCAATGCATACTCTGCAACAAGTGGTGTGAACTGCTCTACGACCACGGCGGCTTGTGTGACATTCGCCATGGACTGATCGAAAACGTATCGTCTGCTATGGTTTACAACTGCATCAGAAAGGAAGTGGTTCAAGGCCAGGCCAGTATGCAATGCAACACTCTATGCAATGAAGGTGATCGTGGTCATGAACATTTGATACGGCTCACATCAGAAGTTCGAGACCAGGTTCCGCATCAAAAACTATTATCTCGTTACAAAGATGACTCATCCTTTGATAATGCTGACGAATACATTGCTGTCCCACATGCCTACTTCTATGAAGAGTTGCTGCACGTAAAGGATCCACACTCGAAGAAGGATGCTGAAAAATTCAACATGTGTCCAACCAAATGTCCTGAAGAGCATGACTTGACTTCTTTCTGTCAACTTGAGAATGGGCATGATCCAATGCAGCCAGGTGAAGGTGACGGTTTTCACATTGGACATCGTCGCGATGATGAGCGCAAGCAGGATCACCAACAAAATTGGAACATTGAAGGCTGCTACTTCAAATGCGAGCATGATTGTCCATGTCTCTGCACACTAAAGGATAATGGTGCAGATTGCAGAGACAGAAATGACCAGCAATCCATTTGTCAGTTCAAGATGGGGCATGTTAGTGAAGGATGCTCCTGCAGAAAGACCCATGTCTGTGGTAAGGCATGTCCTGCAGTCAATTGTGGAAAGCCCTGCAGCCAGGAAGTGCAGCATGCGGACGATCCGTCAAGCCAATGCTGGTGTGGAAATGCGAAATGTCCTGTACAGTGCCAGGTTAAAGGATGTGATAACCCATGTTATCTCCAAGATGGCAAGCAAGATCACCTTCACGGAAGGAATGGTGGTGACCTTCACCATTGCAATCAACAACACGACTGCAGGGAACTGTGCAGCGTGCCAGCAGTTTGTTTTCTGACAAAAGAAAATGAAAGCCCACCCACTGACATTAAAAAATTTGAGGGTGGTGGCAGTAATGGGTACACTTGGTATTGTAAAAAACCCATCAACCCTGGCAGTATTGAACATAGTGGCGAACACCAATGTGATAAAAGCAGTGTTGAGCACACGTGCACAACCAGCTGTCCACTCTGCCAGTGCTATTGCGTTATGCACAATGATCACCGACGCGACCACTTCATTGAAAACCATGGACGAGTTGTGAATCTCGGAGATGTTCACATTGAGAAGGCAAATGGACGACGACTAGACTTGACTGGTGAAGATATTCATTGTCATCAGCTCTGTGACAAAGCAGGAAGAGGCCACTTGCACGTCGTGCAACAGCAGAAGGGTCACAGCAAATGCACCTCATCTGAATCAGAAGGTCGTTTCTATTGCGATGGCGCCGTTCACAAGTACAGTCATGCTCAGTACTGGAAGACACAAGGTGTGGCAGATCCATACAAACAGAACAGTCCCACGCTATCTGACTTTAACGGATGTCCCACGATGTGCAATAGCCGTGACCATGAAGACAAGTCTACTCCCGTGTACTGCAAACTGGAATTATTTCATCCTCGTGCAACTAGCCTTCCAACTACAATGGCTGGGCATGGCTATGTTGGACAAGCCAACTTTGGAAAAGACCGCAACGAACGTTCTTTGGAAGGATGTGTGTTCGAGTGTTCAAAACATCAATGTGAAGAACCATGTAATTATCGGAAACGTGATGACCAGAGCCAGTGTTTCAATCGCTGCAAATTCAATCGCAGCGAACATGGCAATCAACGATGCAGGTGTGCTGCTAACCATGTTTGTGGAAGACCCTGCCAGGCATTGGGTTGTCGTTCCGTGGTTTGTATTAAAGATCCAGATGAAAAACATTCAACTCATTCATGTGGTGCCGCCAAATGTCTTCAAAAATGCGAGTTTGAATCCTGCAACAGAAATTGTGACCTGGACCACCATCATCACACTGGAGAAAAACACGATTGTGGTGAACGGCATCAATGCAACCGCGATTGTTCTGAGCCAGGTTTATGCGAGAAGCCTGAGGACTCCGTATCTGCGCTGGATGTGAAGTCTAAATGCATCAAGATGTGTGATCCTGGCCAAGCTAACCACCCAAATAAATCTAAGCACCACTGTGGACAAAAGCACAAGTGCGAGAGGCAGTGTCCAGCTTGCAATACGTATTGTGAGAAAGACTACCATAAGGTTGGCACTCATCGCATTCAGCATCATGGCAAGGTGGAAGATCCCACAAAGATCCAAGTTTTCAAAGGTGGCGGAGAACTAGTGGAAGTTAATAGGAGCTTCGTTTCATGTGACCAGGTGTGTGACACTGGAGGAAGGGGCCATAAACATCGGAATCCAAGCCCTCGAGTATTATCCTATGGAAAACCTAAGCCGGTGAACCATGCCGAGTTCTGGCATGCAATGGAGTTTGAAGATCCCTCAAGTGAATCCCAATCAAAGCAGTACATGTCTTGTCACCATGAGTGTCCTCTGAGGCACATTCCAGGTGAAGTCGGCCCATTCCACTGCGAACAGGCGGTTGATCACAATGGTTATCATATATGTGATAGGGAGCATGTCTGCGATGAAGACTGTACTGCCAGCGGAATTTGTGGTGACCGTGACGAGGGCAAGGACAAATGTGTTGTGAGGATAAAACCTGGAGCTCTCAATCACCAAGATCCACACCGATGTGGCAATGACAAGCACAAGTGTGATCGAAAGTGCCCGTGGTGCAACATGGGCTGCAAGTTTCCCTATGGTCATACCCAACCATGTGATCCCACCAACCATGGTGTGATTGATGGCAAATTGTTGAAAGATATCACGATTTTCCAAAGTTCAGGTACTGAATATTCATTTGGAAAAAAAACCAAAGTGACTCTGACTTGCTCCAACATGTGCAATCTTGCCGGAAACTCCCATGTCCATCGTGTCAAGTGCTCTTGCTCCACACCACTCTTCAGCATCCTGGGCACAAACCAACCAAAGGAGTATAGGCGGCATGATCAACGTGACCTAGACTCTGTCCCTCACTTCATCTTCTGGCAAGACAGTGGTTTTAAAGATCCGTATCCAGAAACCACATCCAGCGAGTTCAATTCCTGCGACGCTGAATGTCCAAGGCATGCCGGGAGAGCACCGGAACAACCCCGTGTGTGTGTTGAGCGTCTGTACCATGGGCAGCTTAATTCAGAAAACCACACAGATCACTCAGGAGTGGTTATCGATGGCCACAAGTATCCTTGTCAAGAGCACAGGTGTGGTAAGCCGTGTCCTGCCGAGGTGCCGACGGGAACCTGTGGTCAATCATGCATGAAGCTGTCAGGACATGATGAAGTTGAGGACAAATCCCTTCAAACGCAGTGCTCGTGTGGATACCGTCACCCTTGTCCAACAAAATGCGAGTATGGTTGTGACCAGTTCTGTCAATGCGATCATGAAACTACAGCTGGTGGCAGTGATGCTTTACGGCATCATTGCAATAAAGCCCACAAGTGCAAAGAGCCATGTGCTGCAGATGGTCCATGTCTGCTTGAAGATCCTGATGAACTCGCGCAGTCCCCGCAAATGGAAATCATCGCAGACAGGAACGCTTTTCGGCTTAAATGTGATCATGAAGTTCAAAAGGGCAAGACTAGTCATGGAGACATCCACAGATGCAACAAAGCCAAGCATTCATGCAGTGCAACATGCCCATTTTGTACTTACTACTGTGTTAGATCTTCATCAGGGCACACTGGTCCTCATCAGTTCCAAGCACATGGCCAGGCCAAGCTGTCCTCTACTATGTATCTGTATGATGGCAGTGGTCAGAAGCACACCAGTGTCCCTGAAGGTACAACATGTACAGATGTATGTGGTCAGCTGAAGACTAGCCAGCATCACTACCATGGCATCCCTATGGATGATTACAATCAATTTCTAACTCAGAATAGTGATGCAGAACCGATCATGGTACAAAGAAAGCGTGACAGTGGCAAGATGTATCATGTGAATCATTCAACTTTCTGCAGGGTTTATGACTATCCCAGATTGGAAGGAAGCACATTTGACCAATGTCCTGCAACATGCCCTCGGTGCCAAGATGAAAACGTCATGGTGCCCTGCACCAAGCCATTGCTACATAGCACTACTGGCCCACACAACAAGGAACGTACTGGTGTTTCAATACACACCGGTTCTGGTGGAGGCTGGCACCATTTCCCCTGTGTTCACCATACCTGCAAAGAGCATTGCAGTCACAAAACAGAACATCACACTTGCAAGAAGACTTGTGCACAGAAGTTGCAGCATGATGGTGAATGCAGTTGCAACCAACCTCATCCATGTGGAGCAAAGTGCTTTGTGAATAGCTACTGTCACGGTACATGCTCACTTCCTCATGACCATGACCATGATGAACAGCATCACTGTGGAGGATCGAAATGTCCCAGACCATGCTCCCATTGTGCTGGAAAGTGTGCAACAGATGATCACTTCCATGGGGCACAAGGTACCGCTCTACATGACTGTGCAAGTGGAAAGCATGTGTGCTCTGAATCGCGCCTTCCGACAAATCAAGAATCGCTATGTGAGGGTGGATCAGGAAACTGTGAGGTTTCCGACTCTGATGACATTCGGCGACGGGCGGTGAATGGTGAGGAAATAGACCCCAAGCGACTACCCTGTCAGCAGCTGATTCCAACAGGCCAGACATCTCATCATGGAGCACATAGCCATAGTCCGCTTACCAGCAATCCAGAACATTTCTGCACAGCCCGGTGTCCAATGTGTGGGGAAAGCTGCACTCGAACTGTTCACAGCATTGCTTCAGCACACTCCGTAAACCATAAGTCGGTAATCCATGTTTCTCAACTCAGCAAACATGTATCAAAGCGTCCTCTTTGGTATGTCCGTGATAAGGCGGGAGATCCAGCTAAACACACTGATGGCACATACCCGACATGCGAACAACTTTGCAGGGATATGGGAAGTGGTCACTTGCACACAAAGGAATGCGCAGAGACTGCGGCCGAATGCTTTCAGGAAGTGGGCAAAGTGCATCATCCAGTGCAACACTCGTCAGCAAAGGCCTATGATGGTTTCAGCCATGAACAGTTCTGGAAAAGGATTGGATTTGAGGATCCATGCAGCAGTGAGGAAATTAAAGATTTTCATCGATGCGCTACACTGTGTGGTCATTCAGATCATGCAAGCGCTGGTCCACGATGCCTTGGCATTCAGCTTCATCAAGATATGCAAAAGAAGGAGAACGCTGATGCTAAACGTGAATTCGGTGGGCATTTGTTCGACTGCCAACACAAGTGCCCAAATCCCTGCCATTTTGTTTCTAAATCTAGAAACTGTGAGAATGAAGGGAAATGCAAGTACCATGATGATCACGATCAATCAGTTCAGCCATGCATCTGTACACAATCCAACCATCTCTGCAAAGAACTTTGTCAAGTAGCAGAATATACCTCATCCCTTTGCAACAGCCACTGCAGCCAATACATCATCACGTCAGCGGATGCTGCACATACGACACATCTCTGCACTGAGCGAGGATGCAGTGGTGTCTGTACTGCAGCTGGGTGTGAGCAACATTGCTCTCGGTCACACGGGCATGTCTTGTCCAGTGTTCAAGAAGATCACCTGTGCCATGAGACAGCTCATCCATGCAATGGGCAATGTCAGTTGAGAGGTATTTGCAAGCTGGTGGAGCAAGCTACGCCAGGGTCAATAGCCACAAATGAGTTGAAAAGGATGTGTTGTGCTCGGCCTAAAGGTCACACTGGCGAACACAGATGTTCTGTTTCTGCAGAAGAGCACATGTGTATGACTAAGTGTCCTTTGTGCCAATCCAACTGCACGTTGAAACTGCACAATGATTCAACTCTACACCGAACTGTACATGGTCATCATCCTGCCGGGGAGTATACCTTCAACGCAGCAATTCTCAAGCCAGTACATCTAAATGGTACATCTGAACTGTTTGTTGGAACGACGCAATCTGTAACTTGTGGTGAAATCTGTATGAAGGTGGGACGAGGTCATATGCACCACAACGTTTTACCTCGTGGTGACAAGCTCGAAAACTGCTCTTGTAGACGTCGCTCAGAAGTCCAGCGGCATGAAGATAGTCACTGGCATTCCCATGCTGAATTCTGGACGACGCTGCTCAAGTTTGAAGATCCTCTTGCAGGAGAATACGATCAGCTTGACTCGTTTGCGAAATGTGCCGTTCGGTGCCATGAAGGTCATACAAGCTACTGTGATCTGGACCTGCAGCATGCAAGTGAAGCAAGTCTTGACAAACATGTCCGTGCAGGACACAAGTTTCCACAGTGTCCTACCCCGTGTGCTCAAAAATGCTCAGCAGGATTCCATGAGAAAACCTCACAGTCTGCCGAGTGTTGCAGAATCCGTGATCACGATGACGCACTTCATTTCTGCCAGCGGTGTCATGGCATGCTGTGCAAATCCACGTGTCCTTGGTGCAACAGTCAGTGCAGAAATAAGATTGGCCATGGCGGAAAGCACGTTGTCACGCATAGCATAATCCAGAAGAGCTCGGCAGTTGTCCACAACAAATTATTCAAGCTTGTTGATCATCGTGGCTTGGCATGCCCTGGTGCCTGTGACAAAGCAGGAGAGGGCCATTATCATGTCTTGCAGACTTGTTCAACAGCCAATGGTGAAAGCTGCTTTGAAGGGAAAGAAGGCTACCATTTTGTCAAACATCATAATGGTACTGACTGCTGCACCCATGACTCATTTTGGAACGAGCTCTCCAAAATAGCAATGGTAAGTTGCTTTGCATGATCATACTTTTCATTTGCTTCTTGCATCACCATAGAGCCAATCACATGTGCTGAAATAGAGTGGAATTTTTGAAGACACTCACCATACTAGCCTATCATTAGGATGTGAATGCTGAGGACAGGACATTGTAGTTTTACTGCCTTTCCTCGCACGCCGCACTGCAGCTGATGTAGACACTTCTAAGTGGGCTGTGTTGACAGTACTTGACTCTCTTTTTCAGGTTAGGAGTTGCTAGAATTTTCCACTTACCGGTGGATCTGCCATTATATTATATGTGGAGGGATGTAGATCACAATGTAGATAACAATGTTATGTCCATTATGTCAAACAGTTCATTAGCAAATCTATTACAGAAGCCACTAGGAAATCTGATGAGGCCTCTTGCACCAATACTCTTCATAATCGGCTAGGGCTGAAACGATTACATTGATTACTCAGTAATTATTCATTAGAAAAGATATCGAACGGATACGTTAGTTGCTATCGGCTTGAAAGGAGTACAAATGTTGACAATGGGAGATAATATTTCTACCATGCATACATTCATGGGTCGCGCCGACAGTGACGTTCTTTCTTCGTTGCCCATGTTTGTCTGGTCATACTGTACTGAGAAACTTGCCGACCTGAATCTCGACGTAGTGGCAGTTGGTGATTGCAATTCGAAAGAAGTATAGATACTCCACTGCACACAAATCAGGTCCGAAAGTTAGCTCGTACCCGAAAGTTAGTACGGGTGTGACCACTAACTTCGAAAGTGGTTCTGTACTTATTTATGTTGTGAACCCTCTGATTCTCTAAAGTGTCAGGAACGAATGACCACACGGCACGAGGACAACTATTGATTCTCAACAGTATAATTATTGACTTCGATCGACTAATTACAATGAATAACCACATGTAACACTAAAACCACCAGGTAGTTATAGCGTGAAAATGACAGCGTATATGAGAAAAGCATACGCATACAACATACAAGTACAGCGCACACAGCAAACCGCACATAGCGCCTGTAGCGTATACCACGTCGTGAAAATCAGCGGTACGGCGGAGTCGGGATACAACTGCATTGAAACGAACACAATGTTACAAGCGAGAAGGCCTTTCACTCTTGAGAACTTGTGGTTTCGCAACATTCTCCCCACCAAAGGGCTTCTCACCGCCGTACAACAACTCACAAGTCAAAAGTGACCGGGGCTCTGACTACACGCCCAGAACGAGTCATCCGCTGCTGTGGGGGTGGCCAAGGTGGAATATCACTACTGCTCACCACTTCGGCCAACTCGATTTCGCGAAGCTTGCCGCTGTGGGATGTCACACACGAAACGGTCACCGGTCCACTTCGACGTGGGGCGGACGCTGGACCAGACAACACACACCCGATAATTTCACCAAGCTTGCAGGTCTGGGCTGTCACACACGACACGGTCACTGGGCCACTGCCTTGTGGGGCGAACGCCGGACCAGATAACATACATCCGATCTCCGTGTTCCACACAGTCTCGCCGCTCACTTCTTCCGTGCTAACCAGTATCGCCCTTCTCATTTCCTTAGCTTCTACGCCTTGCGCTTCTACGTCTTGCGCCTCTACGTCTTGCGCCTCTACGTCTTGCGCCTCTACGTCTTGCGCCTCTACGTCTTGCGCCTCTACGTCTTGCGCCTCTACGTCTTGCGCCTCTACGTCTTGCGCCTCTACGTCTTGCGCCTCTACGTCTTGCGCCTCTACGTCTTGCGCCTCTACGTCTTGCGCCTCTACGTCTTGCGCCTCTACGTCTTGCGCTTCTACGTCGTTCGGCCGAGACTCCAGCTGCTTCTGAGCGTCTCCGACCGATGTCGCCATACACGGCACCGTCGCAGTGGGCCTTGGATCTGATCCTCCCACTGGCTTCAAATTCCTCTGACCGCTGCTTGTCTGTAAGTAAAGTCTTCCACGCCTTGTCCGGCGTCCTTCCGAGCGAGGCAAGCAAATCTTGCTTTGCTTCCTCATATGTACTGATGGCGATGCGCTCGTTCATCTTCTTGAGCTTTTTGTTAAACTCTGTGCGGAGCGCACCCTCTCGCCGTCTAGCACTGCGCTCTTCAAACTCCTCGCACTGTCGGAGCCTCTTCTTCACATGTTCCCTCTACTCATCGCCTTCCAATCCTAACAGAATTCCATTGGCGATAAAGCGGGCTTCAATGATCCATAGTTCCTGTGCCATGCTCGTTTCGTATCCTGGCGTGGTCGCCAAATGTTGTGAGCCCTCTGGTTGTGAACCCTCTGAGCGCCTGTAGCGTATACCACGTCGTAAACATCAGCGGTACGGCGGAGTCGGGATACAACTGCATTGAAACGAACACAATGTCACAAACGAGAAGGCCTTTCACTCTTGAGAACTTGTGGTTTCACAACAGGGCTTTTACTGTAAGGAGGTATCACGATCGTTCAGCCCTATAGTCGTTACATTGCTAATACTCTGCTGCAGATATCGTCCACCTTCTGCTAAGACACCAGATATAGCAAGGTACTGCCAGGCCAACTCGTTAACACATGCACATACACGTCACCCCCTGGTGTCCAAGCCTGCTTGGATTTGGTGTTTAATAACCATGCCAATCTCTCGTCTTGTGTCGAAATTGACTGCCCTCTGGGCGCCTCACACCATGCCGTTGTGTACTGCCAGTTCGACATCCCATTGCCTCAGTCTCCCCGCGAAACTACGCCTCAAGCTCAGGAGCCTAACCCTGTGTCTTTCGATCTCTGACACGTTACACCTGCTGTGTGGGAGGCGGTCAATGCAGACTTAGACTCAGTACCGTGAAACTCACTAATATCCTCAGACGTGGACAGTGCACTTTGTAACCTGCACAGTGTCCTGAAGACTGTGCTGTCCAAGTACGTTCCCCTTTATGGCTCCCGCAAACCAAATCGAACTCCCTCAACCCCAGGGTCCACACACAAATATCACCCATGAGTTTCCACTGAACTATGCAAGGTAGGCCCGTCGCAATGACTTTGGAGGTGGGGCGGCCGTGGAAGGGGGGTCCGGGCGTCATCCCCCGGAAAATTTTCAAAAATTGAAGCCAATTGCAAGCATTTCCGGGCATTTGGTGCCATTTCAGTGTAACTACAATGAAAGACTTTTTGATTCTGCAACAAACCAAGAAGACGCTACAATTGGGGACATGGGTTCTTCAATATCTTCCCACGGGAAAAAATTCCAACAATTGAAGCCAATTTGCAAGCATTTCCAGGCATTTGGTGCCATTTCAGTGTGTTGTGTGCAATGAAAGACTGTTTTGATTCTGCAATAAACCACAATCGGGGACAAGGATTCTTCATTATTTGCCACGTTTGGGCTGAGCTGCGATCATCACTGATCATGGAGTGTGCTCCAAAAAAAAAAAAAAAAAAAAAAAAAAAAACGGCCGAAAAAGTGGGGCGGCCTCAGCCGCCCCAGCTGTGACGGCCTTGCAAGGCTATCAAGTTGAAGCATGACCTGTTCAGCCTCTCCAAAAAATTCCCTACGGACTACAACCTATCAGCAAATAAGGCACAGCAGAACACGGTGAGACATCTCTCCCGCTCGTGCCACCGCCAGTACATTCGTTCAATCAAAACAACACTTACCTCAGGCAGCACTACGCTTCATCAGTTTGTCCGCAGCCAGCGATCGCACAAAGTAAAACCTGGAATCCCTGATATTGCAAGCCCTGATGGGCTGCTGGTGTCTGACAGCTTTCAAAAAAGCAACCATCCTCAACAAGCAGTTTACCGCTGTCACGGTGCCTGATGACCCACGTTTAGTAATACCCCCTCTCCAATATGACACTTGTCTTACTCGCCAAGTCACCGGCCCACGTTCGCACCACTACAGCAAATGGTCGTATAGCAATCTCAAACCTGAAATCTGGGAAAGTGCCAGGGCTAGACGGTATCACGAACATTATGATAAAGAAGCTAGCTTCTGCGATTTCTTTTCCACTTTATAGCCGCCTATTTAACCCGGCTCTCCTTTACCACAGGCAAGTTTCCTACTGACTGGAAACTGGCTAAAATCGTGCCTATTTACAAGTGCAACGGCAGCAAGTCCCAAGCTAGCAACTATCGCCCAATTTCCCTCCTGTCCTGTATTTCCAAACTTTGCAAACGGCTCTTCTTCAATCAATTATATTAATTATATTTCTCCTGCTCTGGATCCCGCTGGGTTTCGTCGTGGCGACTCGACCGCTCTAGAGCTCACCAAGCTGATCCAAGACATTGCCGACCATCGTCATATGGGGCGGAAAGTTGCCATGTGCTTTTGTAGTAGCTGGCCCTCGGAGACAATTTCACACACTCGAACAAAGCACTCACTTTGTGGTTTCACGAATACTCGTTAGGACAGAATTATTAGTTGCACACTCGGCAAGCAAAGATAAGAAGTGAAAGAACACAAGAAAAGAACATTGCAAGAAGACAAAACACACGGCGAGCGGCAGCCATGTTTTTAGGTCATCAACCAATCAGCAATCTATATAAACCGGTCGCCGACGAAATTCTAGAATATTCCACAGCTGTGAACTGTGATTGGTTAATTATGCTAATGTTCTAGAACAATAACACTAGCAGCCAATCACAGTTCACAACAGACAGTCATATGGGTAAAGTGGGGAAATACGGGTTTAGCCATACACGACTCATACATTACTCACGAGCGACTCACGGAAAGGGTAATAACATGCAGATACAAAATACGCAAGGAGAGAAAAATGTAACTAACTGCCCATCTTGGGGTTTGAACCTAGGAATCTGTATCAACACAAGCTCTACAAATAAATACTACCTCGTACGACCTCGAGAAAGCTTTCGACACCGTGTGGCACCGTGTACTACTTGCGGAACTTTCCAAAGTTTTCGGTGTGCGTGGCGCAGTGCTGGAGTGGATTACAGACTACCTATCCGGCAGAATGCAAGTTGTCTTTGTAGCTGAACTTCTCTCAGATGCGTCACCTGTTCTGTCCGGAGTGCCCCAGCGATCCATCCTTGGACCTCTCCTTTTCCTAGTGTATATTAATGACCTTCCCAGTCATGTTGAAAGTGTGTCCTTATTTGCCGACGATACTGCGCTGCTCCGGCTCAATGTGAGTCTAGACAGGCTGCGAGACAGTCTCCAGCGCGGTATCAACAAGTCCATCATTGGATGACTACCTGGAGACTAAGATCTAATATCGCCAAGAATGAGATCTTATTCACGCCGAACTCAGAGCCAACCCATGTATCCCTCACAGACATCACAGTGGTAAAGCAACACAAGCATCTTGAAGAAGACATTGGTGCGACTTCGGCGATACTTGGGGAATTGTGTGTTGCTCCCCGCGTGAGAGCTTGCCACGCTGTTCCTGCCGACTTGAATTCTCACTTGACTGACTCACGACTGCCATCCAGAGCACACGAGAAGTTCATCGAACCTTCCACTCGGCAAACCTGCAAGAAAGCACCACTCCCTGCTCCATACACAGTGTTTCGAGTCAAGCTCAACTGATGAGGGGCGAATTCCCCGAAACACTGTGTATTGAGCAGGGAGTGGTGCTTTCTTGCAGGCTTGCCGAGTGGAAGGTTCGATGGACTTCTCGTGTGCTCTGGATGGCAGTCGTGAGTAAGTCAAGTGAGAATTCAATTCGTCAGGAACAGTGCAAGCTCCCACGTAGGGAGCAACACACAATTCCACAAGCATCTTGGTTTGGTCAGTGACTCAGACTAATCGTTTAGTAGACATGTCAACTGTGTCTGTAGCAAAGTCAGTAAGGCTGTTGGTTACCTCGTGTCTCACTGCTCCCATCTACTGCTTGAGTTCATTCGCCCTTTTCATCATTGCTATTATTCTCCCCATTTTGCTCTATTGCTCAACCGCCTGGTCATCCCACTAAGTAAATCTTTAATGAGTACCCTGGAAGTCCACAATAAGAGGATACTGAAAGTCCTTTCCCGCAAACCATCATACTTTCCTTCTGCCGAGCTGTATGATATGTTTAACACCTTCCCCATCTATAGTCAAGCGGATTGAAAACTGTATATTGTTGTTCATTCTATTCCGATGATCTCGACAAAGCCCCGCCACACTTGCGTAAATATAACTGTTTTTTTACCACACGTCCTACACGTAATTCCTGCACTTTGCCTAAAGCTCGAACATCAGCTTATACCAGATCTCCGTTTTCATGGTTTGACCGTATTGTCCAATGGTCTTGCCAGTATCGTCATCGACATGCATGTACATTCGTCAACGTCCTTCACAGCTGAAACTTTTAGCTCGTGCTTGTCTTGGTTGCACTCACCTTCCCCTCCTATGTTATCATATAACTTAGAACCTTCCAAGTTGGAAGGCTGTTGGAGTGCGCATCCAAGATGTACTAGAGCTGATAGCCAGTTAGTTGTAGAACGTCAGTACCATCGGTCAGTGTCGTGCAATGTTATCGCATGAGCTGATTGTCAAGTAACTGGTCGTGTAAGTGGACATAATACAATGCAGCATACCGGTAACTTGTAGTTTCTTGGTCCTTTTTCTTTTTTTAAAAATAATATTCCTTTTCGATAATTGCATTATTGCCTTCTGTGTCTTTTGTGCATTCTGATTTCTAGCCTGCTATACGCCGATGAAGTGATTGGTCCAAGTCAATTTCAGGTCAGTAAACATTTGATGGAGCTACATTATATCAACATCGACCGCTTCTTGTTGGATTTCAGAGCAAGAAGTACTAGATCCTGTGACTCTGCGATTAATAACAAGATTGCACTTGAAGTAGTTTGTTCTAGTGCTCAGTTTACATTCTTTTTATGTTTGTTTTCCAAACACTCTTCCCAACAATTGAACCATGTGTCCCCCGACACAGTGCAGTTGATCATATCTTATGTTTTGAGGTGATTTTCACTAGCGCTGGTACTGATTGTTCAACCACCGAGTTAGGTTAGGTGGCTGAACAATCAGCCATTTATAGATATCTTTCTGGTTGAATGGTGGGAATTATTACTATGCCCACGCTTAAATTGATTAGTATGATATGGAACGCGAGTAACTTGGAGTCTTACAGATAGCAATGGTGGCTTCTGTTCCAATTGCCAAGGCAATCTATCCACTCACTGTTTCATTCATATTTCCAACAAACTGCACTTTGGTAATGCATGTGTACATGGTCATCCAACTATCACACAAATTTACTGGTAAATTGCTTTGTTTTTGTCCGCACATTTCATTGTTCCCTATCCGAGTGCAGGATGCATGTACTACGCAGCATTCTAGATGTTGTAGGCACCAATCAGAACTTGATTCCATTGCAATAGGACACATGTCATTTGTGTGGCTGTGTGTGGCTTTCTCCATAAAGCGATTACTAGTACTTTGTTTCCATCATTTACTTTGTATGTGTACATCTTATCAGCTGCCTTTCATGCTCATTTCTTCATGTTTGATACCGCATACTGCCTCTCACTATTGGCTTCATGCATTGGGATAGTTCCAGGGCACTGCAGAGCAATGCATTCTTTTGCAGCTGTATGAGCTACAGTGTACTGTGCCGCATTCGGACATTGTGCCTAGTCCTAGTGAAGGGCCTAAACGGGCAGAACTGTTCCATGGGGGAGTCGCCATTGTATTTTAGCTCAAGCGTTTTCTTCCTTGCGTGTTTCACTACTTCGTACATGTATTCAACGTTTTTTGTTTTGTTACTGTGACCCGCTTGTACTGATTCTCATACCAATGTCCTTCTTTACTCATTCTAGAATGACTATCTTCCAATACTTTAGCTCTTCTGCCAGTATCCTGTAGTTTTCTTCTCCCTGTTTCTTTAGAGAGAGCCCGGGTCAAGTTATAGAGGCGATGTAATCTTCTATTCAACAGCATAATTTTTTTTTCTTTCAGGCCATGTATTCATGCCTTCTGCCATGCAAACCAGCTGAAACTTAGAGTCATCAAGGTTTATTGTGTTTGTTTGATACTTCTTTTACGCAGTTTGAAGTAGACCATTTTAAATTTCATCATCAGCCAATGTTTTGATTGTGAGTGTTATCATTTTTCATGATAATAAGGAACACTGTATCATGTGACGACAATGACACATGGTACCATTGAGAAGCCGTTCAAGTACCGTATTTTCCGGAGTAAGAGCCGCACTTGAGACATCAGTAACTCACCCAAAAAAGGGGTTGCAGCTTATACTACATAATTGGTTAAATTAATTCTCGGTGATTCAATGGGGTCGATGTTTGTGACCAAAAAAAACAGTGCGTGTGGCTTATACTCCGGAATGTATAGTATTTTCTTGGGTTGAGACCACACCACATTCCACTTGGTAGCGCAAGTGAATGTTTAGGTTATAAGCCGCACAGTGTATTTATGGCCTATCTCTGTGCAATAGAATAATGTGAGCTGACCAAAGCGTGTGGTGGTACCTACTTCGCACTGTACGCTGTACAGGTTTTCACAGCAAAGACTAAGGGGGTGATTATATGTGCAGCTTCAGCCCGAGCTGGCCGACAGGCGGGCCAGCCCGCCTGCAACGGGATCTCAGGGTTGTACACAAATCCACACAAACATGTTGTGCGTTTACATGGCAAGCGGGCTGGCCCGGCAAGGCGGGAGTCCCGCCTCGAGGCACCCGGGATCCCGGCTAGGCGGGCCAGAAAAAAGCACATATAAACAGACCAGCCTGGGCCAGAGTTGTATTATTATGGGGTCGACACTGTGTTCATACTACAAAATAGGTACTTTTACCTTTTGAGGGAAGTTATAAAGAGGATTCCCGATATTGTCTTGAAAATCTATGAAGCTTTTTGTACAGCAACAAGAAGGATATGCTGTGAGCACTGTGAGCACTGTTTATTTTGTTTATTTGTCGACATGCATGATTGTATTTTACAATGGAAGGGGAACTACGTACTTGCAAAACACTTTGATATGGACAAGTAAAATGTGAAAAAAACAGGAAAAAACGAGGTGATACAACACACCAAGCATGTGTGCCATGCATAGCGCGAAAAGAAATCAGCAGAAGAATACATTGTGTGAGAAAAAAAGTTTTTAGGTTTATAACACGAGTATGGCTTGCAGCCCTGCGTTTCAGCCCGGGGCAGCAACAATCGTGCATACCGGTACTCACAACGGGCTGGCGTGTGCTCGGCACATATAAACTCACTGCGGGCTGGCCCGCTTGCTCCAGCCCGGGCTGGAGTTGCACACTTTTTAGTTAGTTAGTTATAATAGGCCCCTAAGTATACTGCAGAGTGATGCAATGAAGTCTAGTGAACAACAAAGCCTGGTCAAAGCACGAATGTAAGAGTGCTTTAACTGGGAGGAACACAGCAAGCTTTACACGTTGGCAGGTAACGTTAACGCTAACTAGAAAAGCGCTCAACCGAGCTGAGGACAGGGATCATAATAATATGTACTCTCCGGCGTGGCCCCAAGGGCACCAATTTGGAGATACAGTATTGGAATTTAGTTGCAGCATTCAAGATCATACTCATGGTGCCCTTGTGGTGGTGGTGTTGTGGCGGCGGCGGCAGTGGCGATATTGTGGTAAAGAGGTTAGTTGGCTGCACTTGAGTCTACATGTACAAGAATGAGGTAAAAAGTTAAAAACTAACTAACAAACTAGTAAACAATCCGGCCATGGCAAGAATGTCATGCACCTGGCCGCAGCATATGATATCACCTCCCACCTAAACTGGAACCCTTGGAGTGCTGGTGCACGCCGGCTGGTGACAGGAAGAGCGAGCACGCATGATGCCCAAACTTGCTGAGCCCAGCAGGGTACAATCACAATCATTCAAGTTCCATTCTTTCAACTGGCCACTGAAAAAGGATCAGATAAGGGCCGGGTATTGCCGCAAGTGTGTGCTTGTACTTCTAAGTAAAATTATGTGGATGACAGAGTCAGACATAAAAAATATGATCCAGTCTTACAACTAACTATGAACATCGAAATAATAATACATCACCCTTCATCATGCGCCCATAGTATGGTCGCGAACAAAGTCCGGACCTATTCCTGTCGAAGCCAACGTCCGTACAAGGGTTCTATTTTGATCAAGCTTGTATTTAGACCACATATTCAATGTATGTCAGCACTAAAACCAGGCATATGTTCCAACGGTCCAACTTGTAAATCAGGTTTCTGTACTCGTACGGGACAGGATTTTATACCAAACTTTATGGTTATGATAGTTATACTGAAGTATGTGTATCAAAATGTAATGGGTCATGGTCATGGCCATCCGATGTCATTCTTGTGCAGTCCTAACGTGAAGTCCATGCAATTTCATCCGTGCCTCCTTTGGTATGTCAAGGCAAAAATGACAGCTTCAGCATGACGCTGCCACCGTTTGCGGGTACTTTGCTGACTGTGTAGTTGCTACCAGTCCCTGTACCAATGTCCTGCAGAAAATCATCAGAAATTGCCAACATACACACACATATACATACATGAGTTACAGTAACATAACACACATGCACACACACACATGCACACACACATATGCACACGCGTACACACACACACACACACACACACACACACATGCACAACACCTACACTGGTTCTGTGACTACCTCAGTGGCAGGTCACAGCAAGTGAGGGTGCTGGACAGCTTGTCTTGCTCTGTTGGCTGTACATGTGGTGTTCCGCAAGGGAGTGTTCTTGGACCCATTTTCTTTGTGTTATACACCCGTAATCTGCATACAGCTCTTCCTGTAACTGTCAATCACCAAGAATTTGCTGACGATATAATCCTTGATTTCTCCCATCCTGACTTAGATTTTGTTGGCAGGACTCTGACGAGAGCAGTAACTGATATCTCCCGATGGCTTGAAGACATCGGCCTCGTAATGAATGCCAGCAATGTACTATAACCGTGTCACTAGGACTACTGCAGACCCACAACCGAACTCATAGCTACGTTTCACACTGATTTAATTCCATGAGGTTATTGTTGGGACTAAGAAAAAGAACTAACTAAAAACAATGTTGGGAGAGCAAGAACCATGTCGCACCATACCGAACGCATGCGCATGGTGCATCGAACCGGAACTAAAGACTAAAGTACAGAGCACGCGAAGGTGCAGTACATGTATGCGCTTGCACGCAGCAGTGTCAGGAATGCAGTGAATCGCACACACCGCACGGCAGCCACCGTTAGCACGTCATGCAGTCTATACAACGCAGTGGCTCATGATCATGAAGAGAAAGCGGACACCAACCGCACGAAGCCTATAGATTAGAAGATAAGAAGCACACCGCACATGCAGTGGAACAAGGAGTCACGCACGACTCATCCCCTGAACGACAACGCCATGCAAGTACTCATGTATACAGGAAAGAACACAAACAGTGCACACAGCAAAGAACAGAAGCAGCTAGTACACGTACTTGTACTAGGAGACATTCACACAACACCATGAATACTAGCTAGTGTCAGTCAGGATGGTGGAGGGGGTCACCATTACACTTCATCCCTCCGCCTGGTGACATTTCCTGCCAAGCAGCATCAATCCTGGAAGCGAGCTGGTCGCTGGATGCCTTGTCGGTTTCGAAGATCCATGCGGACATGCTGGCCATCGGCAGCAGGCTCCTGCGGATCAGGGAGCCATCCAAGCCAGCCATCTGCTTTGAAGCTGTCACCCTCCTGGCCGTCATCTCCATCAGGGAAGTTTTCCGTTGGCAATTCCAGACCTGGCCGTGGAGCATCCGGCTTGATGAGTTCCACGTTCACCACCTTCTCTCGAGGGGATCTACCATCAGACCTCCGCCAGATCACGACAGTTGATGGAGAAATGACTTTCTTCACAGTCCAGCCGGATTCAAAAGGCGGCAATCGCTTCTGACGACGACTAGGCATCCGCAGCATGACTGCATCTCCAGCCTGGTAAGCGCAGGGCAGCACCTCGTCATGGCAGTCGCCTTCCGACATGGCGTCTTCCAGAAGGTCTCGGATCCTAGCAGATCGTGCTGCGTGTTCTGCTTGCCACGTGTCAAAGTCGTATCTAGGGCGTCCATCGTCAATCAACACAGGTGGGTCCCACCCAACCATGGCCATCATTGGGGACATGCCAGTCACTGAATGCGGTCGAGAGCGGTAGAAGTGGACCAGCATCTGAAGATCGTCCATCCAGTCCGATGATTCGTCGAGGACCTTCCTGATGAGAGTCAGCAATGTCCGATTGTACCTCTCGGCGGCTCCCTGGGATTGCGGATGGCGAACGGCACCTGTCTTCACCCTCACGCCGAACACTTGAAAGACAGACTGGACAATGGCATTGCTGAACTCAGTCCCATTGTCCACACGGATGACGTCTGGTGGTCCCCACCTACAGCACAAGCTCACGAAGGCCGAGGCAACACTGGGCCCGTCGTGCCGTTTCATTGGCACTATTTCCACCCACTTTGTCAGCACATCCACGCACACGAGCACGCAGTGGTGTGTCCCGCCACGGTTCAGCCCAAGCTCCAGGGTGTCCATTTGCACTGTTCCCCATGGTCGACCTGGGATCTCTGCTCTGGCGCTGGGGGCTGCTGGGCCTTTTGCTGGACTAGCGGCTTGGCAGTTCTGGCACCCCTTGACGTGGTCTTGGCAGGCAGACGCCATCTCAGGAAAGTAACAGTGCTTGCGGAGCAACTCATACATTGGCTGCCAGGAAGCATGACCAGTGTTGACATGAGCAGCAGTCACGACATCAGGCACTAACAACTCGGGAACGACTGGCACATTGACTTCCCCTTCCACAGGCAGCTTCAGGCTCCTGACTAGGCGGCCTTCCTCCACATGAAGCTGACCGGCACAACTGCGGAAGCGCCGACTTGCTACTGGCTGGCCAACTTGAATCTGCTGAATCACTCCTTGGATGACCTCGTCCGATGCCTGGGCTTTGCCCAACTCATCGCTAGAGAAAGGGCTAACAGCCACAGCCCTCGGCAGACTAGCCACAACATCAGAGCTCTTCTTCGGCCAGTTGAACGGCACGCGCGTCAGCTTGTCTGCAAGGTTTTCAGTCGTTGGCACCCACTCCACAGTCACCTGCATCTCCGTCATGCTAAGAAGATCATTGACTATCTGCAGCCGACGTTGCACCAGAACCTCATGCAGACCACCAACCCGGACGCGACGTGACCCACCAACAACCGGAGCCAGCCATCCCGCAGTAGTCTTCGAGTCAGTCTTCAGAACCACATGCGTCGCGCTCCACCTCGTGGCTAGCGTGAGGGCCTTAATGGCAGAGTCAAGCTCAGCAACATTTACATGGAGCTTGTCCCCTGCAGGCCGAAGCCATGATGCATCTTCCACAACGGTCCCGTCGAGCTCAAGAACGACACCAATAGCTAGGCCCGATGCATCGCACCACGCAGTCCAGGTGGAGTCAGCCTGCGCGTGCACGTCCCACTGACCATGCACCGGATCGTCGGAGGAGAGCCTCGCGAACAGCTCTTGGCAGCATTCAACAAGGGTTTCCGGCAGTGGATCGTCCCATCCATTGCCACCTGCAGCAGTCGCCAGCCGCTTCAGGTAACTGCAAGCAGGCCTGAGCCACGAACAGACCGGGTAGTGGCCAATAAGGCGTCCACACCACGAGAAGACCTTGCGTCTTGTCATCTTTGGTGGTGGCTCTAGATCGATCTCTCTCCTGGACCAGCCCATGGCGCCGTCGGCATTAGCCTTCAGTTGCATACCAAGAACACGGGACTCCTCCATGGGTTCGGCAGGCTTCGTTGGGAGTCCATAGGCTGCAAGCTCGTCGGCAACACACTGAGTCACTTCTGCTGGAGCTCGGATATCATCAACATAGTTGTCGACTTCTGGGCGATGGCGAGTGATCCACTGGATGACGAGGTGCATAAACTTCGGCGCAATCGCCAACCCGAAGCCCATTCTGGTCATCACGTACACCTTGTTGTTCCAGAGAACGGCCTGGTAGCGCACTAGCTCAGCACTGACATGCACCTGGAGATATGCTTTCTTCACGTCTAGCATCTCCCACTGACCATCACTGCTGCGTCTCCACTGCCTGATCTTCTCGGCGCACACGGGGGCTTCATAGCCAGGCTCAGACTCAATGAGCTCATTAAGCTTACGATAATCCAGGCACAGGCATTTAATAGTGAGTACCAAAAGAAAGGAACTCCAAGACACACATCATGCAGCATATGTAATACGTAATAGGTGTATTTATACTAAAACAATACAATGCTCACTAGTAATAGGTTTTTCATTTGACCCGACGAGACCACACGACGCTTGCAGACCACATCGTGCGTCGTGTGGTCTCGTCGGGTCAAATGAAAACCTATTACTACTATTTGACGGACCTATGGAAGACGGCAACAAAGAATTACAATGCTCACTATTCGTATTTCTCGCTCCTTCACCATAGCAATGAGATCTCATCAAGCACAGAAGAGCGCATGCTCCAGTGGTTCTTGTCATTCATTCTTCTTCTCACTCCTGTCTGCTCTCTTGTCTAGCGAACATAATTGTAGAAAAGTCATTTCATGGCCTGGAGATAGAAAAGGTAGTTCTCAGGAAACTTGCTACCTACATGTAGTTTCAGTAGGAAAGTGGCTGAACCTACGTTGTCGACATGTACTGTCGTGGACATGGAAATCCGGTCGCACGTCTAGCGGCCCCAGGGCGCTGGCCATGCAGCCGTGGATAAGCGGTAAACACATGCATTATGCGCTGCAGCGTGCTGGTCACATCGAATCAACATGACTGTGAACTGCACGCAGCGTTCTGTGCACCCTGAGGGCGCCGGCCCCGGTCAATCGACTGGATATTCATGTCCGCTACAGTACATAGACCAGCAATACACGAGAATAAATTCAAACAACAATTCTCACCTTATGCAGCCAGAGGTCGCGTACGGTAAATGATGTCGATGCGTCAAAACCCGTCGGTGCAAAACATGCCGCATCGCAGGTCATATCCACATCATCTTTGCCATTGTTTAAGAACACTAGTGCCCAACCGCCGTCAAGCAATTGTCGTCCCCAGATGTTCTGCTGTGCTGGTAATTCAGATGGTAGCTACAGTAGAGAAAGAATGGGAATAACAGTTACCGTGAGATGTGTGTAGGGGAGCAGTAAACGTGTACACTGAGCATGCACTTCAAAGTAATTATTTCTTTGCACGATCAGAGTTTTTTTGTTTGTTCTCAGCTAAATAGACAATAGAGACAACAGGTCCGCTCTTTATAACAATCACTATTGCGACAGCAGTTTGAGCTGGTCCTGCTAGTTCTCTTGCATACTGGCAGAAGACTGGCACATATTGAAGACAGAACACTGGTATGTAGCACCTGATTATGACCGTGAGGGTCTAATATCACTGGAGAAAACAGATGTCCGTACAACAATGCCGCCACTCTTACATGATCGAAAGTCCTCTTGTGGAGGTGTTTGGGTATCTCGTCAGTTTGAGTAGATTGCTTGACACCTTCTCCACTCAGATCGCCTCCAGCCAACCTCAGGCCTTGTCGTCCGATCTTGTCCTAGTAACATGCGGGGGAAAGCCAAAGGAAAAACTGAGTGAGTGTGTGAAAGAGAGATCGAGGAGAGAGGGAGTGAGGGGGAGAGAAAGAGAGAGAGAGGGAGGGGGGAGAGATCAAAGAGAGAGGGAGCAGGCGCGTGCTCGGTGATGGGCACGGGGGGGGGGGGGGGGGCACGTGCACCCCCCAAAAATTTTCAATCTGGGTAATTGCAATTGTAATGTATGCAAATATGCTCTAAAATTCAAGAAAGGTTGCAAACAAATTGCAGAAAATTGCCGGGGGGCTCCCCTCGGCTCCCGTGCACCCCCTAGTTGGGGGCCGAGCACGCCCCTGGGGAGGGAGAGAGGGACCCTTACCCTGACACCATATCCTGACTCCTAACTGGGCCCCGAGAATTATCTTGAAGGAAAGGCGAGAAAGAAAATGAGGCTCTAACCTGATTCACAGCTATGACCTCCTCGTTTGAATACGTCTCCAAGGCGTAAGTTGATAGTTTTCTGATGTTTGAGCTGATCAGTAGTGGTGACGCCATCACAGCCCACATGCTAAACTGGCTTCTCTGCTGTAGATCCGTGATGCTGCAACACACGCATGCACACATACACACCAGTGAGTGACGCATCGAACACAAGCACATATAGGCACCTTTCGGTCAAATTGCACGTCAAGCTAGCTATGTCAACGTTCTGTCTACAAGATTGAAAATGCATCAACAGGTGGTGCCTGTGTGTTGGAAAAATGTCAAACTTTGGTGCTTGGTCAAGTCTGATATGCAAGAGGCCTTTATCAATGCCGAATCACACATGCAGTGCACGATGGTTGCTCCAGTGTTCATCAAACGTCATCATAACAATATTTGAATAGATAATACAACCATACTGAAGTGGAGAGGCCAAGGCATTTTCATATTACTCATATCAGTGCATTGCCAGACCCTGAACTCTGAGAGTGGACACCCCAAACCATTTAAAAGATTCATTGCGAGAAGTGATCACCAAAGTGTTATCAAGTGTTCATACCCCTCTCCTCCCTCCACTCCCCTCTTCTCCCCTCTCCTCTATTCCGGTGAGGGGCCCGCGGGGTACTAGTATATACTTTTGGTACTAGCCACCACAAGGCGTGAAAGACGATCACTAACCGGGGTTTGTTGGCTGATGTATTTCCCAGAAGAAGACAGGGATCTGCATGGAGAAGTGCGGTACATTCAAAGAACATGATTATGAACCATATTAACGCACTCTCCACATACAGGCATGCACCCGGCTCAGAACACATTGTTTTCTGGTTGGCATATCAGGGATATTGGGCGGAGCAGCTGGCGTGCATGAGAAAGACAGGTCGGCCTGCTCTGCGCAGGAGCTGTGACCCGGTGCACACATAGTGTGTGTGAGAGAGAGACAGACAGGTCGGCCTGCTCTGCGCAGGAGCTGTGACCTGGAGCACACAGAGTGTGAACGAGAGACGGTCGGCCTGCCGTGGGCAGGAGCTGCGACCGGTAGTGATTGAAATGAGCCAGCTGCGGAGATAGACTGCCCTCACCCGATATAAGTATATTGACAAGAGTTGTACTGACACTGTTATTGAGGAAATTATGGTGACAGTGACGGAGAGATAGTGATCCCCAGTCGAATGGGGTTGGGAGGGAAGGGGAAATTGACACTGACGGACAAACCAGTGAACAGTCAAGTCGTCAGAAAGCAAAAGTGACAAAGGAGTCTCTCTTTTCTCCTTCTCTCTCTCTAAAGCAAGATTTGGAATGCATGCGTGGGAGAGTGGCGCGCGCTGCGCATGCGCATGTATAGCAATGACATCATAATCAGATGCATGATCATCAGACTAAGTATGAGTGGTAGATGTTCCACGTTCGTTAACAGGGCTTAGCGCACACGCTAAACCACCATTAGAAGGCATGTCTTGCAAGAAGTCAACCATGACTAGCAGATATTATTTGAATGGATTCCTTCAAACAAATCCAGCATCACCAGGAACCATTGACCAGCTTGCAGAAGACACCTCTATTCCTTCATGGGAAGCCACAAAACGAATGGACTCAGTGGAGAGGGGGGGGGGGGGGGGGAGGAGGGGGAAACCCGGCTTCAAGTTCACAAACAGCCAGTTTTTACCGAAGAGGGAGTGGAGCCTGGAGAGGCAGCCAGTTCAGGCAGCTGTCATTCAGTACTAACTAACCATTCCAACCTCCTGGACCGGCATATGGAGCAAGCTTAGCGTTGACATTGATATTGGTTATGATGCCACCCCAATTAGTGTCGTCGCGAGATATCCTCCAGCTATTTCCAAGACTAAACAGAGGCACACACACATACAGTAATTTATGAACACAGTACGCATCACACCAGTTTTGGAGGTTTGCTTGATCATCTGAAGAGGTATCTTGCACGTTCACTACACGGAGGCAAGAAGTGATTTTTTTAGCATGTTACACGTGTAACACATGTAACACATCCACTTTGTATTCTCCAGTTCTGAATTCAGTCAATATGTTACACCAGTGATGGCTCGGGCTACCTCCCCCTCATCCCGCCCCCCTCCTTTCCACTGAATGGCCTTTCTTCATCTTACTGTTGCTTACCAACCTATGCCCGGGAGAATAAGGCTAAAGATCTCTCCTATCTGACCTGCTTACCTCCCACTGCTTTGGGAGCTGCATCTGCACCTTGATCCTGTCAAGGGCGGTGGTGTTCGTACGGTTGCGGAAACTCAGTCTAACTGAGTCTCATGCAAACCGTGAAAAAAATGCACTGCCTACGATCCCACTGCCTACGATCCCACTGCCTACGATCCCACTGCCTACGACCATAATATCTAACATGATTTCCGCGGTCAGAGCCCCAGGTCTGCAGCCTGCCGTCGGAGCAGTCAGAAATCCACCCTTTTCTATGGAAAATTGGACTAAAACCATCCCAGCATCCAATATAGTGCAGTACCCTGAAACGTCACTTTCAAAGAAATACAAATCGGAACGTAACAATTTCCCTGCAAGAGGGAGGGGGGGGGGGGTATATCCTGGGGTGGCTCCAATTCTGGAAAGTATGGTGCCATCATTGATGGTATCACTCAGTCAAACATCACCATGATGACTTCAAACTAATCTAACTGGTAGCAAGCTGACACTGGGCTGTACTGCTACAGGCTGTGTGACTGACCTGTAGCCCACCGGAGCATACCACTCATTCCAACCACACAGGGAGAAGTAGATAGGGCGACCAGTGGCATTCAGCGCATCTCTCATCTTGCCATACTGGGCATAGCCGGAACCATGAGTGTTCGGAGCATGGCATGAATCCTCCTTCACATAATCTGCTCGTGCATGCACAAATAAACACACACACACACACACACACACACACACACACACACACACGCACACACATATTATATACACACACCAGTATCACTAATTCGCAATGTCAATAGATCATAAGACATACCATCTGGCAACAAGTGTAATTTCTGGACTGCTTGGAAGACTCAAGGTTTAGCAGTCATGCAAGCTTGACATGCTAGCAGCCCACTTTCATCATTGATGGTAGCGCATGATTGACTTTTAAAAGCATGTTTTCCATCCTTTTACCTACCCCACATCGACAAAAATACAGCTTTCTGTGTGATCTACTGTCCTACTGTCTACACCCCTGTCATGTAGTAGTAGCTGAATGACACAATCATACATACGTACATGCGTAATGCACCACAGCAGAAGAGTGGTGACACGAAGTACCACCAGCGCTCACCTACACCCCAGCTTGCATATGACTTTGCATCGATGGTCTCATGGTCTTGAGATCCTGGGCGACCACCGCAGGTGTTGGTTCCCCGATCAGTGTACACGCTGTGTAGGAGGACATTAGCGCAAATGTGCAAGCAAGAACTCAGCAATGTCACATGACCTTGGCCTAGGCTATGGCCAATCGGCCAACTGCTCCGACACTCACAGCCAGTCCGTGATGTATTGGTCAATACCCCTGCCCTACGTGTAACTCCTAAGCACAGTCACACCTCAAATATGGCCTGACATGTGGCTTTTGTTTCCTTGGTTTCCATGCAGGGCTGGTATCCATGGTGACGGTAATTAAGGTCCCCAGGGATAACTGTTATCATTGTGCCAAGAGGTCACCATTCAGACCTGCCCAGATAGCCGCATGACCCTGGCTATTTCGGCACCCAGCCTGTCTGAGGTACAGTCTCGGCCATGCACATGGAGGACAGTGCATGTGAAGTGCTCCATGAATGCATCACTGCATTTGTTATCACAGCACAAGCTCCCTGCTGCCAGCACGGGTCTCGAACTCGGGACCTTATACTTCGCAGGCAAGCCCACAACTAATAGGCCAAAACACTGGTTCTTGCACTCTGTACAATCATACCACTACTCACCCAAATAGTAGCCCCTTGGAGTGAACCTACAGTGCCAGGAAGAGATGGCACATAGCAGAACAAGGGGAAAAGCATAATATGGGAATGGCAGAAGTCAGAATACAGTCAGTAAAATACACAATGCATGATTGCTGGGTGCCAAGAGCTTACCCGAATTGTTTCATATTGGATTCACGTACCAGGCTAAGTATGCCATGTAGAATGGACGGGTGTAGCTTGTTGACTGCAATGCTCACTGAAATACCTGTATGACAGTATATTGCAATTGAATACTAGTACCATACATACACTGTGCCCGGCAAGTAAGTAACATCATTCCACACGGTTTAGACTGTAGCTCTAATGAAAATTCCCACTGCATATTATAGACACTTTCTACAGTGCATGCCGCATCAAAAAAAGTGCACACTATAGAGATAATCTACACCAGGCGAGAGCGCCTCAAGTCTATATCACAGATGCTTGCACATATGACTCATAGCATGGACACTGTGACTTCCACATCTTTACTGGCTCGTATTCACAGCGTTGGCCAACAGTTTTGATACTCACGTAGTCAGCCAGTGCTTTCATCCCAGATGGGAACGTGGCATTGTCAGCATACACCGCCCCAGTGGAATCACGTCCCTTGGCCCAGCAATCATCAAGCTAAGAGCAATGGACAACGACACAGTGTCACACACACACACACACACACACACACACACACACACACACACACACACACACACACACACACACACACCGTCACACACACACACACACATGAACGCATGCATACATGCACCCACGCATACATACACACACGCGCACGCACGCACGCACACACACACACGTGCACGCACATACACACACATTCACGGCTAGGTGACTACATGTACAATGAATAAGATGCATGAACTTAACATACATGCTACTAGTACTTCGTGTGACAACATAAACACCTAGTCCGCTTTATTGGGTTAGGACTGTTGGCTATCGAATACAGTGTACTTGCAACTATTCCTTCCAGAGACAGACCAAACATGCCGCTTGACTACTGTCCACCCTGTGTATGCTTGACATGCTAAGGTAACTTACATGCATAAGCAGTACAAGCACGTACTACATCACACCATCATTTTGTCTCCTATACCCGCAGCTGCACAAATGCTCACTAAACGTAGTAACCGAAAGCAATGTACAGCCAACAAGCACAACAAGCACCATACACCATAATGCTGCACTGCACAGTAAAACCTGTAACTAAAGACCGGCACCGTGATTAGCAACCAGCCTGCTACTACAGACCACCGTGATTAGCGACCAGCCTGCTACTACAGACCACCGTGATTAGCGACCAGCCTGCTACTACAGACCACCGTGATTAGCGACCAGCCTGGTACTACAGACCACCGTGATTAGCGACCAGCCTGGTACTACAGACCACCGTGATTAGCGACCAGCCTGGTACTACAGACCACCGTGATTAGCGACCAGCCTGGTACTACAGACCACCTCGCCAGGCGCGGACAGTCTCACATTATGGTTGTGCGGTGCAAACCTCTAACTGAGGACCACCTGCCACTAAAGACCGCTTTCTCTGTCCCCAAGGGGTGGTCGTCAGGTACAGGTTTTACTCTAGCACGAGAGTGCTGGGATAACAGTGGTATACCTCACATTGTATGATGATTGGCTGTTGCCATGAAACTTCAAGTCACAACAAAAAATCCCCACTTTCCTTTGTGTACCTACATTGATGTATTTGTACCCCAGCTTTGCAAGGCCCGTGGACACCATGGCATCTGCCGATGCCATGATGATCTTCTCGTTCATATCGCCGGAGCAGGTGACGTCGTACCATGAGTTGTACCCCATGGCTGGCGTCAGTGCTAAGCCATTATCCAGACTCATGGCACTCCTGTTGGGCACAGAGGGCAGCGGAATAGCCACAAACCAAGTCACAACATGAAAATGATGGTACTTCGCTGAGTAAGAATGTATTTACTAATTGCAATGGTAGATGCTGTATTTGTGTCTAGACCTGCAGGAATGGTATGCCGGTACGTATTCTGCCTCCCCAAAACACAGTTTTGCTGGCTGCAATCAAGTGCCACATACATCACGGTACATGTACCTCTATCACATTGAAATCTCAGCACCAACTAAGGGTAGAACTTTGACTGGGGGGGGGAATTAAAATGTGCACCATTCCCACCTCAATGCAGCTGGCTGAGGTGGACTAGTCTGCCTGCATCCAGGTAATTATAAGGCTTGAGCATTAGACTACGAGTACGATATCAAAGTAATCAAACCTAGCAGCACATCGCCCATGGAGCTTTGTGGCGGTGATCCTCCCCCCCCCCCCCCCCCCTCAACCTCCACCCCTTCCACACCTCCACTCCTCCCCCATCCCCTCCTCACAGTAGCCAGTGCCAGGAGCTTGGGGCCTTCACGGTTTCTTGAAGTTAGAGCTAAGAAAGTGGAATGACGTTCGAGAGTTTTCTACAGTATTCCGTGTTCTCATCCCCTGCCGGCATGCCGTGAATAGTCACTCTACTATCCCAATCTGTAAACCTAGCCGTGAGTGGCTATTTCCATTACCTTGTCAGACTGCCAACAAGCAGTAGCGTCACCAGCAGCATTCTCATCTTTCACAGCGGACGAACGGTTGGACCTGTGGTCGCTAGCTTAGTCGGTCAGTCGATCGGTCGTGCACTGCACCTCACCCCGCAACACCGTGTGGTAGATGACTGAGTCACTCTCTCTTTCCGAACTACATCAGATTCTACAGATCTACTTGACGACTGTAAGTGCAAGTCCAAAGCAATAGAAAGAAGAATTAGCGCTGAGTTTCCTCGACGTGTCTTCGAGCTGCCAACCGATGGCTACAGAGACAGTGGTGATGCCTGGGAGTGTAGTGTCTGGTAGACTTACTCGGGGCACCGTGTCGTGCTTCGCGCCTACAATACTGCTAGTAGACTACCACAGTACCATCTACCAGCGTTATCAGAGCGTGCCATTAGACTTCATAATTATCACCACTTCTGCTGGAATTCTGGTCTTGCAAGTCGGATTACTACTGTAGTAGTAGTACTTCTACGACCATATGTACATGTATCTACTTTCACGTGACGCTGGGATGCATTACGAATATTGTCCGCATTGGCCACTTACACTTTACAGCATTACTAGCACATTACAATGTCAATGATCACGTGTGCTCTGCTTCTGTCTGACCACATTGCACTGCACTGCTCTCCCTGTCTGACTGTAGATCTACTCTTCTCTTGTTCCGAAGCCAAACGATATACATCATGTAACCCGTCTAGTCTTTTTGGGGTCTTGTCGGTATCCCAGACCAGACAGAAGGTCACAACAAATGAGTAGATCTCATGTTCTAAAATAACCCTCGTGCTCCCACAACCGGGGAATCTACCGCATAGATCCACTGGTAGACTCTATGAGTTCTCCACCTCCCTTCCGGCGAAATTCCGCACCGCGTGCACACGGACCTGTGGCCTAGTGTTGGCCGAGTGTGGCAGCCAGTCAAGTGCACCTTTTCTACCCGCCACGGTGGAGCTTCGAAGCTGCGGAAGCCTTCGCCTCGGTGGGAGATATACACCGCGGTACCGGTGCTCACAAACACGGCGGGGAGCTGCTCTCTTGCCTTGGAAGATTGAATTATTTTGCAGTTTGGGTTCATTTGACGCTGTGCCAAGTTGTGGTCATGTCAAAACAACGAAGTAACCAGCGCCGCCTGTCAGTCGCACAGGGCTTATCAGTGTCCATCTGACGATTCCCTTGTCTCTTTCAAACGCTCACCAAATTGTTTGCGAGGTCAGATAACAGACCAGGGTCCAGTGCAGAGACAGCGTGGTGGCCTGGCCGGGATAGAGAAAGTCATTCACCGAATCTCTTTCAGAGTTCTCAGCGGCTTTTTGGATCATACAATTTGCATCTTCTTCTCGCTTACGCTCTGTGGTGAGAGGGATGAAGAGAGTGGACAGTGGTCCCACAATCTGTTTCATGTGGACAGGAAACTGACTTGAAAATAGCGAAGGTGACCTGCAAACAAACGACAACGGGGAGAAACGGTGCCGTCTCAACTCTCTCGAAGTTCGCAAGGTCACACATCGGGACACGATGTTATGGTACGTTGTTTTGTCGTCCTGCTTAGCTGCTCTTCTGCTTGGGGGAGAGGCAAGTGCGCAACAAGGAACTGCTCCTCGATTATGCCAATGTAACTCACTTTGCCCAGCAGTAAGCCAAGATGCTGGATCTGGTGCAGGCCCCGAGAAACTGGCCCTACTCGTATCACCATATCGCCTGGCTACGGAGAGTGAGAAGGTCTACGCACCTCACCAATCCTTCAGAGGTAAGCCTCAGAGTCATGAGCATGCGGCACTAACTGTTACTTATCCTCACCCACTCTCCATACCCTCACTCACTCTCCGTAACCGCACCCACACTCCATACCCTCACTCGCTCTCCGTAACCGCACCCACACTCCATACCCTCACTTACTCTCCGTAATCGCACCCACACTCCATACCCTCACTCACTCTCCTTAACCGCACCCACTCTCTATAGGGTGGATACCCTCACTCACTCTCCGTAACCGCCCCCACTCCCCATAGCCTTACTCACACTCCATAACCTCACGCACTCTCCACAACCTCACTCACTCTCCATAACCTCGCCCACCCATTGTAAAAAAATTTAAAAAATCCCCATAACCTCACTCACACTCTATAACTCCCCTCACTCCCCATAACCTCACTCCCTCCCCATAATCTCATTCACACTCCATAACCTCCCTCACTCCCCATAACCTCACTCCCTCCCCATAATCTCAGTCACACTCCATAACCTCCCTCACTCCCCATAACCTCACTCCCTCCCCATAATCTCATTCACACTCCATAACCTCCCTCACTCCCCATAACCTCACTCCCTCCCCATAATCTCAGTCACACTCCATAACCTCCCTCACTCCCCATAACCTCACTCCCTCCCCATAATCTCATTCACACCCCATAACCTCATTCACTCTCCTTACGGCCTAACCTCACTCACTCTCCACAGCCCCATCCACTCGCCTACCATGCAGCTACACACCCTCACTCAGAGACGTCTGTGATCCACTGTGAACAGTGCACTGAATGACAATCACTGTATCCTATGCCTGGAGTGAGTACGGATAGCAATGTTTCCTACTGTACGTTCTATGCATCCCTGGATGCAAGGTTTGGGCATATGGACGCAAGCTTAAGCTACCCCTGCCCAATCGGGGTCTGATGTTTTTTTAAAATGCGAAATACCGGCATGGATGCAAGTCAGACAATCCTGTTAACAAGTCCGAAACTTCCTAGGAATACTAGTACTCTGTGATGGGATGTCTGGACTCTCAGTCACACACTAGTGATTCACACAATCAATATTAATCGTACATCATGTCATATTATGTGTGGTGTTCTGTTTAGGCATGTATCCTAAAACATTGACAACACGGTTAATGATCAAACACCCAGGGACTGAGAATCTCATGAAATACGTTCCTAGAATGCACTCGTCATGTGAGTGTTCGCCGTTTGTTATGCTCTTTTCTACCTTAGTGACACTACATATCCGAGAACCCATCAACAGTTTTGCTGTGTGCGTGGCTCGGACGGCAGTGAGCGGTGCGGAGAGCAGCACTGATCGATTCATTCGTAGATTCCTGCCATATCACGCCAGACTAAGACAGGGATGTTCCAATGTCGTTCAACAGAGTCCAACATTTTACCGCCGTACATTTGGTGTGCTGCAGTGGAGATGGAGGGCTCCGTCTGCCAACATCGGATGCTTTGAGTTCACGTGAGTGCTTAGATAACATTGAACTACCTGAGGCAGTGTAGTTGTACTAGGAGTAACATACATCCGCGGGAGTCCCAGAGGAGGGTAGGTATAATTATCACTACGCTCATGGGACGGTCCATAACAAAGGGTCCATGCCCAGAGGATCATCTCCATTGCGTGAGGTAGCTTGGAAGGCTGTGATTTTACTCTTCGACCCTCTCCTCTCCTTCTCCCCTATTTCTCTCTCTCCTCACTCTCCCCCCCTCTCTCTCTCTCTTTTCCTATCTCTCTCTCTCTCTCTCTCTCTCTCTCTCTCTCTCTCTCTCTCTCCCTCTCTCTCCATGCTATGCACCTTGCAATTTCAGATCGTGCGCCCAGCTCAGTGGTGGAGAACAGAATTTCGTACAGCACAAAGTGACCGTTTGTCCGGTAAGTGACTGCCATAGCAAGAGTTTTGTATGTCCTAATGCAACAAAGTCATAAGTATCTTTGGGTATCCTCTCCCAATGATAGAATGCATTTACAAACCAAGCTGATCACCCCCCCCCCCCCCCAATGCATGTAATTGCTAATGCTCATGTAGTCTCATTTAGAGAAGATTATAAATTTGGTGCCACAGTGCCCTCCTAGAGCACACATTATCATCACTAGCATTGATCTGCTGCCGGTCTTTGTTCTTCTGTCTGTAGATTTGTTCCTGGTGTCACGTAGCGCTGTCAACAATTATCTGTTCGAGAGATTTTTATGCAAGTATTTTGCAAGTGAAATCGACACCCATTGATTAGAGAACACTCTTCAGTGAATCATTAGTTTGGGGTCGCACAGGACTATGCATGTCTGTATATCTGGGAACTTACCGTACCTGTGTGTGTGTGTGTACATGTGTGTGTGGGGGGGGGGGGGGGGGTGCGTACATGGTGTGTGTGTGTGTGTGTGTGTGTGTGTGTGTGTGTGTGTGTGTGTGTGTGTGTGTGTGTGTGTGTGTGTGTGTGTGTGTGTGTGTGTGTGTGTGTGTGTGTGTGTGTGTGTGTGTGTGTGTGTGTGTGTGTGTGTGTGTGTGGATGTGTCCGTCTCTTTGTCCAGGCTCAGTACTCACGATTTCCCAGGCCCACACAGGACTCTCCAGCATCAAACTTTGCTCCAGCAAACATTCAGCTATCGAGTAGTGCTAGTGGTGAGGTTGGCCTCACTGCCACAATCAGTCTGCATGCAGTGCAAGACAATGACCAGGTAGCAGCACAGGAAACACCAGTCTTTGCAAACGATGGACACTATGAAGGTATGTACTGGAGGCTCAGGTATGTACAGTCCCGGCCAGAGAAATCCAACCTCACGAATATGATAGCGTCGGGGGGGGGGGGGGGGGGGGTACGCGGCCCTAGCACCACACACACCACTCTCCGCACTTGCACATGGCGCTACTTTATCCATGAGGTCAGATTTCTCTAGCCAGAACCATGGCACGCTGGATAGGTACTTACTCCGTACGTCTTTGACGCAGAAGATGTGTGAGTGATGGCAAACTACTGTCCTGACTTGTAATACTGTAACATAGGCACTTGAATATCTTCTTCCTCTGCTCCTCCCTGCTCTTTGATCACTTCAGTTCAAATAATGGGAAGTTCCAATTTTGATCAATGCTTCGTCTCTGTTGAAACTGATGATGGCTACGGGCAGCGCACGGATCCAGGACTGTTTTCTAAAAGAGCAATCGGTGGAAGCGAGCGCCGCTGGATGGGGTATGTTCTGGATGGGGTATGTTCTGGATGGGGTATGTTCTGGATGGGGTATGTTCTGGATGGGGTATGTTCTGGATGGGTTATGTTCTGGATGGGGTATGTTCTGGATGGGGTATGTTCTGGATGGGGTATGTTCTGGATGGGGTATGTTCTGGATGGGGTATGTTTTTACCTCTCGTCTTGATTCACCATTCCACAAACGTAACGTCGTTACTTTATTATTAGAAGACTGTATTATTACTCTTTCATTCTCATGCCAAACAGCTAACTCATACTAAACAAGAATGACCAAAAAACTAATGACCTGCACCACCGAAGCAGGAACCTAAAACTCCAACACACCAAGGAAAACAAGCCCCCTCTACGCCTACGGATCACGGACTACAATCCCGATCCTAGCGTAGCGGCAAATGATACATACTAGTACAAGTCGATGACAAAAGCGGTGCCGGTGTTAGGTGACAGCTGCATACGAATGCATGAAAGGGGTCAGACAGTTCATGTATCATGTGTACCGGCAGTTGTAACTGGAGCCGACTGAAAGTCAATACATCAATAGCAGTGTTAGTCATACATGAAGCCCAGACTACAGAAAGTGCAGCAGTGGATGCAAAGTAAGTTGCATACGACGGGTGTTGCTTGTCGCCAACGTCGCCTACGGGGGCAACATCCTCTCCCCAGTGACGATTTATCCGTCACTAACACAACGGACGTCTAGCACGCAGAGCTTGGCTACTGGCCGGCGGAACACACCAGTCTGGGTCTTGACATCTGCTACCCGCACCAGGCCGTCTCTGCCGGGATAGGTCGCCGTCACTATCCCCTTCGGCCATGTGTTCCTCACTGCGTTGTCGTCGGCGATGACCACCACATCACCTACTTCCACCTTCTTCTCTGTTCTTCCGTGCCATTTGGTTCGCCGGGCTAGCGTTGGCAAGTATTCCTTAATCCAGCGACGCCAGAAATGGTCTGCTAGCACTTGCACGATGCGCCACTGCCGGCGCAGATGTAGGTCATCACCACTGAATACTCCGGGCACTGGTGCTGCTGATGGCGTCCCGAGGAGGAAGTGGTTCGGCGTCAGGCTGTTGTCGTCAGTTGGGTCAGAGGACACATGTGTGAGCGGGCGGCTGTTGATTATCGCCTCAACCTCTGTAAGTAGCGTGATGAGTGTATCCTCACGCGGAGCACGTTCCTTGAGCACGGCTCTCAAGGCGGTTTTCACGGACCTCACTAGTCGCTCCCACGCTCCCCCCATGTGCGGGGCTGCCGGAGGATTGAACTCCCACTTGATTCCTCTCGGTGTGAGCTCAGCTGTGAGGCGTGTCTGGTCCAGCTGGTCCAACGATTCCTTGAGTTCTCTTGCTGCACCTCGTAGGTTGGTGCCGTTGTCCGAGTAGATGACTCCAGGGCATCCTCTGCGACTGCTCAACCTACGAATTGCCATGATGGTACAGTCTGTTGTCAAGTCGTGTGACAGCTCCAGGTGTACAGCTCGGGTCGTAAGGCAGGTGAATATCACGCCGTACCGCTTCTCGTGACGTTGTCCGATAGTGACTGTCAGTGGCCCGAAATAGTCCATGCCGCAAGTGTGAACGGGCGGATGAACGTGGCAACGCGTGCGTCGGGAATCTGTCCCATCTGAGGTGGTGTTGGCTGCGCGCGTTCATTTTTACACTGCTGGCATACGGTCCAGGTACGGCGGACGGCTGTGCGTAGTTTCAAGACCCAATACGTCTGGCGGACGTCGTTTGCCACACTGTCCTGACCATGGTGTCCATGCCAGACATGGTACTGCTGAAGGAGCATCTGTGTGAATGGGTGCGACGGGTCCAGGATGACAGGCTCGGGCGTCAGTGGACTTCCGGGTGGTGCACTTCGAATTCGGCCATGCATTCTCACCACACCGTCGCTATCTAGCACAGGTGAGAGGTCTCGAAGTTTGCTGCTGCTGCTCACATTGCTGTGCTTCTGTAGGTCGCCAATTTCCTCCCGGAAGCTGTCTTGCTGTGCTTTCTTCCACCACAGCTTCTGGGCCTGCTGGTACTCCGATGGCAGCAACTCAGCGCAAGTGACTGTGGGCTTGCTTGACGCTTTCGCACGCAGGTTGTTGACGTATCTGACGATCCATGCTGTCGTTCTCATCAGCCGAATCCAGGATGAGAAGCGGCTGATATCTGGCAGGGCTAACTGCGCTTCTTTGGTGACTACCGCAGTAAACTCTGCCTTCATCTCGGCTTGGTCGTCGCTGGTGGTAGTGTCTCGCCCAGGATTCTCTACTGGCCACTCAGACTCTGGCTTGGTCAGGAACTCAGGACCATGTGTCCAGATGTGCTGCGCTGCTGATGTCTCAGGTGGGGCTCTGGTTGCTGCATCTGCTGGGTTGCTGTGTGTCGGGACCCACCGCCATTGCGATACATCAGTGAGCTCCTCAATCTCTCCGATACGATGTGCTACGAATGGCTTGAATCGACGGGCGTCTGCTCGGATCCATCGTAGGACAGTCATAGAGTCACTCCAGAGCACGATGCGGTCGATAGGTAGATCATGCTCTTTCCGGACGGTGTCGGCCATTCTGCTGGCCATCAGTGCAGCTTGCAGCTCCAGCCGCGGTATGGATATGGGTTTCAGCGGTGCAACTCGGGACTTGCCAAACACGAATGCGACTCTGGTGCTGTCGTCAGGCAGCGATAGCCTGAAGTAGGCTGCTGCGGCGAATGCCGACTCACTGGCGTCTCCGAACACGTGAAGCTCCAGGTCCTTTCTGTCCGCAATAGCCGTGCAGTAGCAACGCGGAATTGACCTGCTTCCGAGGTTGTGCACTCCCGTCCACCAGTCCGTCCATCTTTGGACGAGAGGTCCTGGTAGGGGCTCGTCCCATCCGACGCCTGTGCGCCAAATGTCTTGTAGCAGAATGCGAGCCGACGTGGTGTAGTAGGTGAAGAAACCAAGGGGGTCGAACACAGACATCAGCTTGCGTAGGACTTCACGTTTTGTCACTTTTGTTGTGTTGCTTTGCTCAAGTCTACGGCTCAGACTAAAGCCGAACGCGTCTTCCCGTGGCAACCACTTCAGACCGAGTGTCTTCTCCACTACAGTCTCGTTGTCGCTGCTAATAGTGACTACCGATGGTGAGCATATATCTGGGGGTACGGCAGCAAGAGCATCAGGTGAGTTGCTGACCCAGCCTCTGATGGAGAAGCCTCCGGCTTCCTGGATTTGACTCACTTCCTTGATCCGTTGGGCTGCTTCTTCTGCCGTCGGCGTCGAGTCGAAGTAGTCGTCCATGTAGTGCTTGTCATGGATTGCAGTAACTGCATCTGGCGCGCTGTGCCGGAATTCGTCTGCATTTCTTCGCATTACATACTGGGCTGATGCTGGCGAACATACAGCGCCGAACGTCATGGCTCTCATCTGGTAGACATCAGGTTCACGGTCTCTGTCACTGCCTCGCCAAAGGAACCGCTGTGCAGGCTGATCGTCAGGTCGGATGTGCACTTGGTGAAACATCTGTCGGATATCCCCTCCGAACCCCACGCGGTGTTGTCTGAACTTGAACAGCACACTGGTGAGAGGGTTGAGATAGTCAGGGCCTGGCAGCAGGGCATCGTTGAGGCTGACCCCGTGGCTTGGCGCAGCTGCATCGAACACTAGGCGCAGCTTGCCTGGCTTGTTGGGGTTTGTCACTCCAAAATGTGGCAGGTACCACGCTCTCTGAGAAGGCATCTGGAGCTGGGAGTGTGTGAGCTTGGTGGCGTATCCGTCGTCAATATACTGTGCAATCTTGGCGCAGTACGCTTCAGAGAATGCAGGGTTCCTGTCCATCTTGCGTTCAATGGACAGGAGGCGGCGCGTTGCTGACGTTTTACTCTCCGGTAGGCTTACGTCAGCGTCTCTCCACAGCAAGCCGGTCTCCCATCGTTCCCCGATACGTCTCGTGGTGGATTCCAGGATCCTTTCCGCCTTCGCTTCCTGTCGCGAGCGTATTTTCTCGCTGCGGACTTGTACACCGAACGATTCTGTGGTGAAGTAGTGCTTCACCTGTTGGTGGAGACCGATATCCGTGTCCTCGGCGCTGCCTTCTTCCGCTGTGTCGAGTCGGGCATGCAGTACCTGATCAGCGCCACCGAGTTGGCCGTGTATCGACCACCCCAGCTTGCACCGGCTCAGTGTGGGTGCGTTGGGTGGGCCCTCGATCGTCTCCCTGGGCAAGATAACATGGCAGTTGTCTTGGCCAATCAGCAAGCGCGGCTTCTGTGTCGCGCTGAGCGGGATGTCTGCGCTGCTCACGTGTTGCCAATGCTGTCGCTGATGGTTGATGTCGACATGCTGGGCTGGTAGGTGCAGCTCACGCACAGTCCGGGCCGACAGCTGGAGGTCTCCGTCCTGACCGCTCACGGTGATTGTGACCTCCCTGGAGTCAGGATCTTGCTGGCACATATCGTTCGTCCATGCTAGCGTCAATGGCCTACATGGCCCTTCTGCGCCCACCTGCTTTGCGATGTCTGAATCCAGCAGGGTGACCGTTGATGCTTCATCCAGTAGTGCGGCCGTGTTCACCACACCTTTCGGTCCGCGGATTGCTACCGGCACTGTCCTCAGAACGACTCTGCTTTGCTGCTGGGCGCTAGCTAGGTTCGTGCGTTCGACATCGTCCTTCCTCTTCGGTGGGTGCAGCATCGGATGGTGAAGCCGGTCACAGCCATCCTTCTTACAGGGCGTACTGTCAGGGCACTCTCTAGTGCGGTGGCCCTGGCCAAGGCAGGTGAAGCATCGCCGTTCTGTCTTGACCCATCTCCAGCGTTCGTTGCTCGTCTTGCGTGCGAATTCTCGGCACTCAGCCACCTTGTGGCCTGCCCGTCCGCAGAAGTCGCACTTTCTCTCGCTGGCCACGAAGGCAGTCTGCCGTTGGCCGCTCTGTCGAGCAGTCGGTGGCGGCTTCATATTGCTGCCTGTTGACACACACTTTGCTGCCGTCGTGTCGAGTCTCCGAACACAAC